TCACTCCTCCTCAGTCCAGATATGGTCACTTCCTGTTCACTGGTTGTTAAAAATGCCATGATGGCGAAAGACGTAGATGGCGACGGACAAATTGTCGATCTCGAGGCTTCAAAACGTCCACAACCTGATGAGTGACGTCACGACGACTACGTCCACTTCTTATAGAAAGTCTGTGGTTACAAGTGGTGGAGAAGTGATCAGGACTGTATGATTTGTCCTTCACACTTGGAGAAATCAGATTTGTGTTGTAATAAAGTTCTATAAGGACAACTGGGGCTCATCAAGTTATTCTTTCATTCAGAGTCAGAATGAGCTTTATTGGCCTTTTATGTGAAACCATTAACACCTGATGGATCTTAACCGACTTCCTTCATCCTCTGTCTCTTCTGGAGTGAGTCCAGTGTGTGTTTTCATGTCCAGCGGTCACATTGAGACTTAATTAACATTTGATTGTGTTTGATTTCCAGTGTCACAAGAACTACATCCCCGTGTGCGGCTCCAACGGGGACACCTACCAGAACGAGTGCTACAGGCGACAGGCGTCCTGCAAACAGCAGAGGCTCATCTCGCGGGTGTCCGACGGGCCGTGCTCCGCCGGTGAGTCTGCCAGGAAAAACACAGCCGGGTCAGCGCAATGGAAAAAAAGCTGATTGATTGAGGGCAGGGGAGTTCAACCACAAAAAGGGAATTACCACTCTTCATTTATTGATATCGACCAGCGGGAGGCGTATGTGTGAGGACATCAGTCAAGCGTCTGTGAAGGTTTCAGTCATTTTAAGAAAGGGTGTTCGTCAAAGTGTCGTCTGAGGAAGTAATTCACCTTCTGCCTTGTAAAAACAGACACAACTCGTCTTCTTTTGTTTCTGAGCCGTCGCGTCGTAACGTTCGGCTTTTTATCGTCCATCAAATGCTGGAGAGCTAATGATGAAGTGAGACTGTTGAGCTGACTCTTCTGATCAGATGACCGGTTATGAAGAAGGGTCAGTTCACCCACATTAACAAACATTGTAGTAGTTTGGAGGTGTAATTTAACTGCAGATTTTCATGAAATCAGAATTATAATTGGCTTCATTGGCCTTAGAAAATTTAAAGACAATGAAGCTGAACAAAAAGGTATAAAGAAGGTGAAAAAAGACTGTTTCTGTTTATTATAAAGAAGAATAGAAGTCTGTTCTCGTGTGGACTTTAATCCAGTCTTTTCCCAAGAGTGTTTATACCAAATCCCGCCCAACTGTGCTGTGATTGGCTAGTACTACTGTGCTGTGATTGGCTAGTACTACTGTGCTGTGATTGGCTAGTACTACTGTGCTGTGATTGGCTAGTACTACTGTGCTGTGATTGGAAGGTTGAAAACCCCGTTAGCGTTTGACAAAAGGTGTATCATAAATAAACGGCATCGTTTAAAGTATTGTCAGATGTTGAAGTAATAATTTAAAGTGTGCAGCTTCATTGCGACTCTCTCAGTACAAGATGATCGTTGTATAACGAGACTATAAGTGTCTCACTAATATTATTATATAATATATTATTATTAACGACTCACAGTCGTTAATAATAATATATTATTATATAATATATTATTATTAACGACTCACAGTCGTTAATGATAATATATTATATAATAATATATTATTAACGACTCACAGTCGGCCGCGCTGCAGCGTTTAACTTCACAGTCAGTGTATTTTTTAATTGACTGAACATCAAATGCTCGTCCTAGTTTCTGGAGAACGTCATCGGTCCGATTGATTTCAGACAACGAGCCGGTTAATCAACCACAGATCCATTTTAATTAGGAGCCGGTAACGTCCTCCCGAAGCTGAGAGGTTCCCAAACCGGAGTGCAGGGACCCTCCGGGGGTCCTTCAGAGGTTACAGAAGGGACAGAAGTGAAATGAGGTTAGCCGTTAGCGGTGCTGCTAACGTTACTAGCTCTCCTCCTGTTGGTTAGCCGTTAGCGGTGCTGCTAACGTTACTAGCTCTCCTCCGGTCTAATCACTGATTGGTTGTAACATGCAGACAGAGACAGACGAAGAGTAGACAGAGATGTCTGCACACTCAGTGTTTGCCTAAAAGACATACAGTCATGGAGGGATATTTGCATGACGCAGAGTTTATTTCCCCTAAACCTCCAGGTTTAATGTTCCACAGCTGGATGGCCAGCAGCCATAAATCAGCTCCATGCTGAGGCAGAAACAGAGCGCTAACGAGTTAGCATTCTCCTCATCAGACAGCCGGCAGACTCTCTGGGTTCAAACGTCTCTGCAGGCCAGTCAGCGGTAATGTTCTCATCCCACTCTTGAGAAAGGTGATGGGAAACTCACAGCAGCAGCAGCAGCGGTGGCGATGATGGCGGTCAACTCCATCTGCAGGGGCAGCGGCCTGATTTCCCAGGAGGCCCCGCCCCGGCGCTCTGCCCTTATTGCCCCGTTACACCGGGGACCCGGCGCCGCGATATGTCGTCCCGCTTCCCTCGCCTCCGTCATGAACTATTGCAATTTCCTCTCCCCGAGATTTATGCTTGCTGTAATTGAAGCGTTGGGGCGGCGGTGGTACAGACACTCAGCGGAGTATATGTTCCCCGAGCCGGAGAGGAGGCAGCGGTTTGGCTTCTCTGACAGCGCGGGACCAGGAGGTTACGGGAGGGCTGAGGCCTCCTCACTGGGGTCTGATCTCAGGTCAGCCGAAGGTCTGAACCCCCCCACCAGCCGGAGGTCAAAGTTATTACTCTTTAGAACCTGTGTTGTTGGCTTCTGGACGTTACTGGCCTGTTGAAAGAGAACGGAAGAGAGCAGATTTCACACAGGTGGATGTAACACCAAAAGTCTTTTCTTCACCTGAACTTTGAAGGTTTCTGAGTCTTTGGTCCAAGATTCTTACTCATGTCTTCTGTTGACGGAACAGTTTCAGTTTCAGGTTTTCAAGTCGTCCCAAAGCTGAAGAATGAACTTCCTGAAGTGGAACAATGTTTTCTTTTTGTATTTTGTGTGAAATGAGCCTTAAAGTTGGACTGAAGCTGCAGCTCAACACATTTCGTGTCCCTTCAGTGAATGTTGTGTCCTTGTTCTTTATTCTTCTCTTTCGTTTCCAACCGTGAGCTGAAGAGAAAATCGACCTTTGTGTTTGATCTTTGGTTTTAAGGAGTATTTAGTTATAATAAATAGTCACACCTGCCTCCGCCGATCTCCGTCAAGATCCAAAAGAGCCGGAGCAGAACTAGAGCGATAAAGGTGGTTTTACTGTTCATTATCTCTCACGTCATGAAACTAAAGTTAGAGAAGCATCGGAGTGATTCACGTGTTGTGCAGCAGAGGAAGCAGTAAAAGCTGCGTGTGCTTCATTAAACACAGGGTCGGCCATCTTTAATTTCCTCAGCAGGTTTTATTTACTCGGTGCCGCTGCAGAGTTTCTATTCAGCGTTTGTTACAAGATATCTGGAATAATGTTCCCGTGTGACCCGAATATTGATATTTAAATTATAGAGATATGACAGCTTGAACTGTGATTAAGAGAGATTTCTGTTCTCAGTGCTTTTCATTCATAAACTTTGAAGATTATTGATCAGTTTTTCTGCGGTTCGGCTCGTTTTTATCGCCAGGATGAAACGATTCATTTTAAAACACCCTCCAACCTTTCTACCAACATTTCTACCAACCCACTTCCTTCTTTCCTTCCTTCCTTCCTTCCTACAGCTACCTTTTTCTTACTTCCTACCTTTATACCTGCCTACATTCCCTCCTTCCTACTTTCTTCCTTGTTTCCTATATCTACTGTCCTTCTCTTCTCCCTTCCCACCGACCTACTTCCTTCCTTCCTTCCTTCCTTCCTAGCCTCTTACCTTCCTCTTCCTTATTTCCTTTCTAATCAACTACTATATCTATCCTTCCTCATCTACCTGTCTTCCTACCTACATATCCACTACCTTCCCTTTGTTCCTTCTATCCTTCCTAGTTAGGACACTACGTAGCTACGCTACCTCCTTCCTTCCCTCCAACCTTTCTATCTTTGCCCCCTACTTCCTTTTCTACTGACTATCTTCCTTCTTTTCTTCCTTCCTACATTTTTTCCTGCCTACTTTCCATCCTCACTACCTTCCTACCTTTTCTCCCTTGTTTCCTACCTATATCCACTGTCCTTCTCCCCTACCTTCCTACTGACTTCCTACCTTCTTTCATTCCTTCTGACCAGTCTAGCTTCCTTCTTAGCCTCCTGTCTTCCTACCTCTATCTTCCTTTCATCCTATCCACTTTACATATTTTCCTTCCTTCCTTCCCATCGTGAATTCCTCTCTAGACATATCTCTCTCTTCCTACCGACAGTACACATCTACTACCTTCCTCTTTTCCTTCCATCCTTCCTTCCTACACATGTATACACACTCATCCTTTCTTATCTCTCAGGTGTGTTTCTGTGTCTTATTAAGTCTCTCCAGAGGTTCAACACATCTTCATAATATATCATTTATCTCAAAGTATTTGATATTTTTTGGTGACTTTCTTCCCATTTGAACAACAGCAACAATCGTTCTTTCATTGTTAGATTCTGATGAGTTGGCATAAAGACAAACACAGATGTCTGTCGTGTTAAATAACTAAATGCTTCATGTGTTCATGTTGTCACTTAAGATTAACAACCTGCTCATTCTCCCTCATCAGCATGTTTCACCTGCTCCTCTCAGAGTTTCAATCTTTTCCCTTAAACGTTGAACTTAAAGAGACTGCTCGTTGGTAAATGAACATTATTCACCCCCAGAAGAGCTTCCTCTCTACATAGCTACAGCCGAGTTCAACCTGCAACGTCTCAACGTTTAGTCAATAAGACGCTGACAGAAGCATTAATATCTCCGCTCACTCGCGACCCATTTCTGCCTCCTTCTCCCATGAAACAACAATCTCGTGGTGACTTTGTGAAGAAGTGCGGCAGCTAAAGGTGAAGTTTAATTGAACCAAGCAGCCAGTTGTCCATTTCTTAATGCAGCGGCGACGTGCCAGGAACTCCAAACACAGCGGCCGGTTTCTTAATTCAAAGATGCTGCGCCAACATTTTCACCGTCGGTCCATTTTCCTGAGTGAGCTGCAGGACGTTCAGTTAAACCTGCTGCCAAACACAACGCTTTGATTATCAGTTATGGATTTCATGAACAATCTACAATCGGGGGCTGGGTTTGTTATTCACTGCAGACAGTGTGTTAACTTTAAAGAGAGAAGATCTTTGATTTATTGTTAAACCACAATGACTCGTGACTTTACTTGACTTAAGAAATACTTGATACCGGCCCCCAAAGATTAAAAAGCCATTTGGATAAAAAGGATACCAAAGATCATTTTGTTCGTAAACAAAGACTATGAAGTAGTCAACAACAACAAAAAAGAAGGAAATTGAATTGCAGTATCTAAAACCAGCGTGACCTCACACAGCTGTTCGTATAATCATTTATGGAAAGTTACTTCTCGTTTTTCGTGCGTTTTTCTACAAAAGTCCAGCAACAAGTGTTCATTTCTGTTTGTTACATGAATACAGTCTTTTCAAAATAAACTTCTGTCTTCACAAGAAACTACGTAGTTAGATTTAAGGAAGACACCGTGGTTAGGGTTAAAATAACTACGAGGTGTTACTGGAGTACGCAAGTTACGTGAGAAATGAATAAACAAACATCCGTCTCCTGGAGGAAAGAATCGACTTCCTCTCTGTCCGCCTGGCGTAACTTTAAACTTACTGGTGAATAATCATATTGATTAAATACGATTTGTTCATTGATGTTTCCTAAGTATAGCTAACGCTGTGAGAACAGCCTGGCAAAAACTTGCGCGTCTAAAATTGCCGACGGAGACGTAAATGGCGCTACGTTTAGAGCACGTTACGACTTGTTCAGGACTTAAAACTCAAAGTTTAGGACTTGGGACTTGATCGGGATTTGCATGTCTTGACTCGGGACCTCAGCGCAAAGACTTGAGACCACTGACCGAATCTGGCAACCTCAACAGCAACCAACTAATAAACAGCTAAGACATCAGATAAGAACACTCTGGATCTACAGGGTTCAAACACAGAGCGGAGAAGGAAGGAGACACATTTTCATACTTATAATTCATCCACAAGCCCTTAAACAAAAACTGTTTTTTTCATTATTAAAAAAATTATTTTTCATTATTTAAAAAGGTAAAACAGTATTCCCAATGTGTTCCTACACTGATGCACATGAGATGTTTACAGCCTTTATGCTAAGCTATGCTAACCGTAAAGATGTTGCAGGGGACAACGTAAAGGCAAAGAACTCCTGTAATAATTATGAGACCCTTGATAAGTGTTTGGGTCTTTATAATAAAGACATAACTGGTTGTTGTGTCTCTTGTGTCTTTACAGATCCTGGTTCTGGTTCAGGAGACGGAGATGGTGAGTTTGTTTCTTCTTCTTCTTCTTCTTCTTTGGGATATTTCATTTCACTTCTACAAAAAGTCAAACACAAATGAATGACAGCCGCAGTCTGAATGAAGCGTTTGAGGCTCTTTTATTGGTGGGGTAATAACTCCTCTCATAAAGATCGTGTGGAGGTTTTCCGTCTCTGCATTAACTCTCCTGATGAGCGGATTGATATTTTCCGTCCTGCGGGAGTCGAGCTGAAAGCCTCGCCGTTGCCTAATTTGGCAACAGAGACATTTTATGACCATCTGTGAGCGCCGACCACAGCGTTTGTTGTTTAATACGGCTGCTGTGGTGGTGGTGGGGGGGGTAATTGAAGGGGGTCTCCGGAGAGATGGTGTCTCCACCATCTGCATCAGGAGGAAACGGTGAGTTTCTTGCAGGCGGTCAGTTACTGAACCTGACTGTAGCTCTCCTCCATGTTTGTCTTTTACTCTCCGATCGGGGACACACCTGGCGGCTGAATCAACATCCACCTGAAAAACGGTTCCGCTGAGAGAAAAGAACGTTTGAAGAGCCTGAAGTGCCTCTCTTAGCAGCCTGGTCTCACCCAATGAATGACGTAGCTAAACCTGCGGAAGGTAACACGTAATTAGTGCTGTAATTCGTTGAAATCAAACAAAATCACAAAAAGAGCGCAAAACCCCCACAGGTCAGTTGTGAGAGGAGGTGGACGGCTCAGATCCTTCAGCCTGTTAAATAACGTCCGTACTGAAGTAGCCTCATTTTCATAGTTATTTGAACCCAAACTACTTTTCCAAACTAAGTATTTTCCTTCTTAAGATGGAGGTTTATTTTGAAAAGACTGTATGCATGTAACAAGAGTGAACTATTGCTGGACTTTTGTAGGAAAACACACAAGAGATGAGGAGAGAGGGAGCTACTGAAGTCTCCAAAGAAAATAAAACAATCTGTCTGGTTTCATTTCAGATATGTTGAATATTAACATTAAAACATGGCGTCTGTTCTCTTCAGACAGTAGATGAGCCACGTTTACATTAAGGCTGGCAGTAATGAGAGTATCACTACATTGCCTGTTTTGCTGCGTTAGTATTTAGTTTCATTCATAGAATCTATTTTTAAAAAGAACGTCTTTAACCCTTCCTGTCTGTGTTTGACGATGCTGAATCGAGCTGCAGGAGAAGAAGAACAGAGCGCTGCGACGTGGTGAAGCTGCTCCGATCCGTTCGGATCCTTTAACCTTCTCAGCTGACATCTCATTAGCCTCCTGCCTCCACGCTGAGCCTCGCTGACACATCTCACAGCGCAGTGAAAGCCCGGTGAAGTCATGTAGAAGTCATAGACTCAGTCTAGTCCCACTGACGTGTGCGTCACATGGGTCTCTCCTCAGTCAGGCTGCCCAAACTTAATGTGCTGTGATTCGTAGATATCCTACGAAATGACTTTGTGCGTGAACATGAACCAGGAAGTATAAAGAGCCATGCGGGGCAGGTGGGAGGTTGATTAGACTTTAATACAAGAGACAGATTTGTTCCCCGCGTGAAACAAACCCCAAATGTTTCAGGCGGAGACCACGACGGTGTGTGTGTGTGTGTGTGTGTGTGTGTGTGTGTGAAGCAGCAGCATCATCATCATCATCCTGCCGTCTTCAGTCGTACAGAAACAAAAGAGCCTCTCTGCTGCGGCTCCTCGTCGATCGATCGGCAGCCTCCGAGCCCCGACTGAGCTCTCCATGTTCAATACATCCACCCACAGCAGGCCAATCTGTCAGCCAGCAGGCTCTCTCACACACACACACTCTCTCGTGTTGTTTTAATCATGATGTCGCTCTGTAAGTCACATTTTTCTTGCAATAAGCGGGAAGAAATCTGCCCCAGAGTGAGTCTCATTCATATCTGTACTGCAGACCTGCAACAGCTGTTACAGGTCTACATATCTACTACCAAAGATACTGAAGCTGTGGGGTTTTAATGTATTTTGATTTGTTTCTGTTGTGCCGATCCGTGATGAGAACCGGGCCGTGAGTTTTATGATCCGTTGCTCCCGTAATGATCAGAGATTGAGGAGGCGGCTGTGGCTCAGCTGCAGAGTGTAATGAACACTTGAGCTCAAATAGCTCCTGATGGTGTCCTGCATTTGTGTTTGTACTTGAACATCAATCTGAGAACCAAACAGAGTTCTAGACCTTGAGAGAGACCTTTAAAGGCTTCTTTGCTTCAGACGGGCCAAACTTCACCTTCCACGCAAAATCCACTTTAGGTTCACACGACAAAGCTACTTAGTTATGTTTTGTAAAAGATTCTGGTTTGGGTTCATATAAGTACGTTTGTTACGTAACGAAAGTACAGTGACATAAGTCAACGTTTGGTTTCACATGTGACACCAACTGTTCTCCCGGGTGAAGGTCCTGTGTTTGTTTGACCCTTTCATGGCTCCATCCTACGTCACCTCACTTCCTCTTTTGCTTCCGTCATAGTTACTCTTTTTGAATTGGTATCGGTGGTCAAACACGTGAATTGATGAAGACCTTCTGAACACAGAAACAATAAATCTAATTAGACCGTAGGTTTAACAGCAGGACTAAGGAGCGATCTAATTAACTTGCTGGTTGTTCCAGTTTCTTTGCTTTATTGCATTTACATTTTGATGTTAAATTAATATTACTATTATTAGACTGCAGTGGAAACAGCTGCTGCTGACTTTAAGTCTCAACACAGGATTTAATAACTTCAGGTCAAAGTCTTCTCCGGTGGCCGACACGTTTCCTGTTGTCTGGTGTGGTTACCTTCCTCTCCCCTTCTTCCTCTTGTTACCTTACAAAATGACACTTGATGAGTCATAAAGAAACGGCTCTCCTGATGAAAGGCAGCCGTGAGTAAATCCCCGGGGCTCTTTCGGTGTTTGATGCTCCGGTTGTTGCCGCCTCGTCTGCTCTGAACTCGCTCTCTGCAGGAAGAAATGAGCGCCGTCATGCGAGATGACATTAAACCCCCCCCTGTAATGACGATAATAATAACAGTAATATCATAAGATGATAATGTGCGTGCTGTGTTCCCATTTGGCCGATGAGCTCCGGCGGCCTCTCCACACACTCGGCTGTGTCTGATAGAAACGTGTTGAACAGAAGCTGGAGGTCGATGTTCTGGAGAGAAGTGTGAGAAATAATAACAATAAAAGAGCTGATTGTGTTCTTGAAGTATGAACAACATGAATAAACAAAGAAGCAGTGAAGCACAGACGCGATGTTAAATTAAAAATATCTTTTATTTAAACGAGATGAGGAAGGTGCAGCGTGCACAGCTGATCACAGAAATATCACTGATTGTAACAATTGAATACGTTTTATGATTCTCAATCTCCAATACGTTTCCAATTATGAATCCAAGCATGTTCTCCACTAAGATTAATATATTAATTTAAATATGATGTAGTTTTACTTTTCTAAAACTGTAAATTCGGTAAATTTGTTGGAAGTGAAGCAAAATCTCTGCTTCATGGTTAAAAGTAGAGCATGTTTTTTTACTGTTTAATGAACTAATGAAGATTTATACTTGAATGCCACATCTTTAGGGGTAATGTGGTTTATTTGATTGAAGGTGTTTTATTACACTTAATAATAAATAAGGGGTTTGGATTAATGTCTGCATAACTTCATCATACATCTTCTTCTTCCAGCTTCAGCCTTCGTGATGACGGCTGAGAGCTGATTTACGCTTTAATCTCAAACGGTTTACTTTGATTGTATTTTTATGTGATTTGTTCCAGATGACGAGGGTTCAGGCTCCGACGTCGGGAAGAAGTTCACCAAGTGCAGCACGTGTAAATATGGAGCAGAGTGTGACGAAGACTCGGAGGACGTCTGGTGAGTGTTTCACAGAGATTCTCTGCAGCTGGAAGGATTTCACTGAAGCTTAGAAACAGTGAACGTAATCCAGAGCACAACGCCCACATTCTGCCATGTCTGCTTAAAAACCCTCCAATAAGGATTTGTTTTTGAGTTATTGTAATCAAAATGAAAAAATCTGTTAATCTGACCCTCGGTTTAACTTTCGATCAGAATCAGTTGATCATTTGCAACTTCTCATTGAAGTTCTCCAGAGCTGAGCGAATGTATT